ACAGACCGGACTTTAAAATTAAAATTTCAGTTAACATGTAAATGTCGGCTCCCCTGTCGATAATCATAATCGCTTGGATGCCACTATACAGGCCTATTGCAAAATGAAAATGTCAAAGGAGATATGAATTTTCACGCTTGAATATTTAAATCAAACTACATGAGGTCACGGTGAAAGGACTACAAGAGGAAACGCTGAAATGTCGTTCAATTTCGGCCTCTCTAATTCATTATAATGATATTTCAAGATGTAAAAGAGATTACGGTTTGCGAGCACAGTGCATTTTCAAGTTTGTTTATAATATTGTCGCTTTTAAGGCTGATTATAGAGGGCGTTTGGATTGGAGACTGGTTTACTGTTCACACACAGACTACTACAGCCTCTACTAACCGTTTCCTGGCAACGGATTTTAACATAGGAACTATAACAGTGTCACTGAACTACACACTCCAGATATCACACATAAAGCCTTCTCTTCACAGCCGGACTTTCATTGAGCTCTCTTGCAACTCAATCTTTTCTTCACAGCCTTCTGTACAGAACTGAACTCTCAACTGATTTTGCCCATTGCTTATAACGTCTCGACAGGGGCCACATAGAAACACCCCGTTTCCAACAGTAACTCTATTGTTACATGCGTATTTGCTGCCTCGGTAACAAGTTTACGGAGCCGTTGCCCAGAAACTGTTGTTGTTTACAGAGTCACTGGCTAGCAATAGTCTACGATTGGAATCAAAAAAGAGACATATGTAATTAACATCGTTTGTGTTCTTTACTGAGCGGAAGATAAACATAGAAATAGAAAGTAAAAAAGAAATAAAAAGTGACCAGAGTTTAAAACAATTCTTGCTGGGATATTTTAATATGACTGATTCTAAAGTTTGGACCAATCTTTCGTTAAATAATAACTTATCAATATTGCTTCTGTAAATCATAATTTTAAGCTTAATGCTAAACCGATCTTGTGCTTATTCTAATCAATATTAGGAATATTGAGTAGCCATCTAACTCGGTGGTGTAGAAATTCCCTTTATAAACTAAATATCTCTGAGCAGATAGGTCCTCAGCTTTTATGGAACCCGAAGGTTATATCCATCGTTAATAATCCACAGTTGGGTTTTCTCTTCAGTCAGGTGAATTCAGAAGACTCTTATTTCATACGTCTGTAGATTCACTTTAATATCATCCTCTCACCGATGCCAAGATCTTCCAAATGACCTCTTTCTTTTCCGATCGAAATTGTATATGAATTTATAGTCTGTCTCATGCATGCCACATGCCCAGACAATCTCCCTCTTATTCTTGGTCCGTGGATTATGTAATGACGCTTCAATGACAACATATTTACTTTGAAGTTGTGAAGGGCTTATTATGCACTGCAAATTTGGAGAACATATGCAAGGGGGCTGTTGTCTCCTGTTTCAAGTCACTACCTCACTCAACTAGAATAAGTGAGTAAGTGTAAGACAAACCTCAGTCAGAATAATGTTCAGTAGAAGCGAACATGCAAATCAGGCCCCTTGCTGCACGACCTCGATGTTCGATATTATTATTTGTGTTATTGTCACCTGTCCGGGATTCCATCACTAGTGATATCGGGGTTTTGATTCCATGTTTGGATTTATTGACGCCTTCTTTTACAATATCCCTTATTCACAATAAATTATAGCGCTATCTCTACTCTACCTACTTCACAAATCACTAGGACACGCTCTATTCTCCTTCTTCTTCTTCTTCTTCTTCTTCTTCTTCTTCTTCTCGTCCTCTTTCTCATTCTCCGTTGTACTCCAGTCTCCTCCACCGTACTCTTCTGTACTCCTACAGCTGCCAGCTTCGACAATTCGACCTCTTGTATTTCCTGGGCACGGACCCCCATGGAAAACACGATTCTTCTGTTTTCCTAGAATGCCTGTTTATTGGTTCGTTACCTAGCAATGGATGTGCTGTTGTTGAGAGCGGTTGCCTAGCAATGGTCATGTGCGTCACATTATTATATCAGCGTTGTAATGCAATGAAGGGGAGACATTAGTGTTTGGTTCTTCCTACAATCGAAACGCCTTTTATTGTTCGTGCTACACCGTCACCGTAAATCCTGCTACCCGAACAGTTCTTACCTTCTGTGGTTACTTCATAGAAAAAAAGAAATAAATGTCTTTGAAATACTGAAAGAATCTGAATTGAATCGTCAGATTTCTACCTTGCATCGCGACGTGCAATTGTGCTGCCCTATGGCATCCCTGTTCCTTCGAGTGTTTACCACTATGTCTCCGTGGGAATCTCATTTAGATCATTTGAATATTCAGAAATTGTCTGCCGAATTATGGCAGGAAACTTTAGAACAATTATATGGTAATCTCAAACTTTCGCAAATTTATATCAGTTTCTCATTTGCTTTAATGAACAGTGTTTGTAAGCTTCTTGAGATAGAATAGATTTCTCCAGCTGTGTCACACTTCTAATTTTGTGTCACGTTGTCTTTATCAGTTCCCCATAGATATGACAGAACTTACAATGTCGTAACATGAGGTAATGTACTCGTATATTATAGAACTGGGTTGCATTACCTGTAAAAAATTAAATTCTCTTAGTGGTGGGGGGTGTAGTCCTACTGGGTCCACTCGGCACGGCGGCCACTGATTGGCCTATTGTAGCCTGCCCCGGGTGATTGTGATGATGGAGAATTTGGTGGAATGAAGATTGGCAGGAGAAACTGAAGTACTCGGAGAAAACCCGCCCCAGCGCCACTTTGTCCACCAGAAAATCCCATTTAACCAGACCCGGGATCGAACCCGAGCCGCCGCGGTGACAAGCCAGCGACTAACCGCATGAGCTATAGCGCGGCCTTGCATTACCTGTAAGTACGGAAATACGAATCGTTGTAGGACAATCGGTATAATATATTGTCACGTGTTGGGTATGTGTCACGCGACAAATAACTTCAAGCCGTCTTGGATCCAGCGAATTTATTCCAACAGTTTCACAGTTACTGCTTTTACATATTCACAACTTTAGTATCACAATTACTTCTCCTGCTGGAGTCCCTGCCATGCACGCGATACAACCCGACTCGGCGACTGCTAGACTTCCGCTGCACTCGGCGACTTCACGATCACTCCTAATCACACACCGCTCAGCCGGCCTTTTATACCGTTCCCTGTTGCCTTGAGTTAACACCGGTATCCCCTTTTACGTCACAGTGAGAAGTGCTGTTACGTCACCGCGGGGGAGGGGAGTGTTTACTGGCCTGTTACCATAGCAATGGCTCCTATGCTGTTACGTCACCGCGGCAATGGTTGCCTGACACAGTTGCTCTGCTGTTACGTCACCACGGGGGGTGTTTACCGAACGTTGCATAATGATGGAAGGAGTGGGGGTATGTTACGTCACTCGCGAGACCGCAGAGTTCACGTGACCCCTACTTCCTGTTGCGCCATCCGCGTCACACCGTTCCCTTGTAAAGGTTGTTCGTCCCGAACAGCCTAACGGTACATCCCCGTTCCTTTTTCTTCCCGTTGGTGTTCGTCTTCAGGGAGCTACCTCCGACCCTTTTCTTCAAGGTGCTCGTCCCGAGCAGCTCCATGGTCCCGCAGTTGTTGATTCCGTCGCCTCACATTCATTCGTCGCTCATTCACTCCTCATTCACTCTCGTTGGGGAAACCGGTGCTTTTACGTTACCGGCTCCTCCTCTGTGCTATTCCATTTTTCCCGTTTCGGGGGCGTCGACCCCTCCACAGTGTCCAGTGTTTCACCTCTCTTGATCTACTGGAAATTCAGATGGTTCCCTTCACGCCCTCCGACTCGAGAGCTTGTCCAAGGGCCTCGTAATATCTTCATGCTTTTAGGAATGGGTTCCTTGAAGTTTCGGCTCCTTATTCTTCTGTTGTCTCCCGGGTGCACTAGACGTCGCTTCCGGAGCACTTGTATTCTCTGGGATCTTGCTGCAGCATTGTCTCTGTCCCTGTGTCTTTTACGCCGTACCACTTCTGCGCGGCGGGTCATCCTGATTCTCTCAGCGGCCGGTTCCTTCCGCGTTCGACACTTTTCTGGGTCTTGTTAGCCCTGAGGATATCTCTCTTGAGTCGTGCCACTGTTGCACGGCGGGACATCTTCTTGTCGCTTTTCTAAGTCTGCCATATCACTTTCACACGGCGGCTCGTCCCTCTTCTGGCTACGGCCAGTCCTTTTCTTCGGCACCCATCCTGACCCTGGGTCCGTTCATTCATCTGGCGGCGGCACTCCGCGACCAGTTTTCGGTCCTTACGCCTTTTCTTCTTCGCCGACGGGCATTACTTCGGCGTCTACTTTGGGGACTTCTTCTTCCGCCGCCTCAGGTTTCCTGTCCAGTGAGATAGGCTTTTCCTCTTGTAGATGCGCCTCCGTCCTTTCTCGGTAGGCTATTGTCTCCTTTTGGGTAATCGACGTCATTTTTTCGATTATCCTCTTTAGAGTCTCTTGTAGCTGTTCCTGGCCCGGTTTTCTGTCAGGCTTTGCCTTTTCTTGGTAGGATTTCATGTTGGCGTCCATTCTTGCCAGCGTTTCTTCTTTGCCAGTCTTCCTATCGGAGTCTGCCTTCGCCTGGATGGCCATAATTTCTTCTTTGGCAGTCTTCCTATCGGCGTACATTCTTACCAGAAAGCGTTCGATTAATTTTTCCATCTCCATCTTGTGGCGTGCTTAAGTGAGTAAACCATTCTGACACCAAATTGTCACGTGTTGGGTATGTAACGCGATAAATAACTTCACGCTGTTCTGGATCTTAGCGAATTTATTCCACACTCGCTCTTACACTTACACCATTCACAATTTCACAATTACTGCCATCTGCAGTATCACAATTACTTCTTCTGTTGTAGTCACTTCCATTCACTCGACACAAGTCAACTCGTAGCTGCTGGCCTTCAAATCACACTGAATACTGCTCTTTCTCTGAAGGCCGGAAACCGACTGCTAATGCTAACTAACTTCGGCCAATGCTAGACTGCAACTTCACTCAGCGACTGCTAGACTTCCACTCTATCCTTAGGTGTGCCTGCCAAATGAGGGATGGATACTGAATGGCCAGTTTTCTTAAGATGATCAAACAATTTATTCTTAGATGGAAATTCAGAGCCACATGTAACACAGCAATGATTTAGATCTCGGACATAATCAGTACTAACACTTCCGTCTTTCTTGCCATTCTTTTTCACCCCCTTAGCTTTCTTATTCTTTATTTTAACTTCGTCAGCTTTTCCTTCTACCTTTATTTTATCGCCAACTTCCTTCCTATTATTAACTTCCCTTTCCTTTAATAGTCTTACTTTCATTCCCTTTCTTACGCCTTTAGTTTTCTTTCTTTCAATTTCCTGTGCAGAAGTACCAAAATCTTCAGTTGCCTCCTCCATTGCAATGTTGTCCACATCATTATTCTCAGCCTCACTTTCATGGTTGCCATCAGATGATGTATTCTGCTCTGCCTGCATCATGCGCTGCTGCTTTTTACGTTGCTTCTTAGACCATCCTGAAGACATCTGAAATTCAATATCTGAAGCATTGTCAACAGTAACACTACAAATATTTGGTATCCTCTTTTTGTTTCTCTTTTTTGTCTGCCTTTCTACAAATTCTAATTCTTCTGATTCATCTTCAGAATGTATATCAGAATCTGATGAAAGTTCATTTACAGAGGTAATCTGTGTACACTCATAAGATGAATCTTCAACCTTCTGTTTACTTCTTAACACAGCTAGCTCATCTTCCACTAACAGTGCTTTCAAAACTTCCACACTGTCCTTATGTTTTTTAGAGTTCTCATGATTTGAAAATGCTCTCTCAGTTCTGAAAACTTTGTTACATGCAATACAGTATAATGAGTTTACAGTTTCTTCCATTACTTCTTCCCTGTCAATTACAGATTCTCCACCTAGAGATATATCACTGTCCCCAAATTCTGCTGCAAGATTTGCTTCAATTGCCTTAAGTTCTTTTTCAATATTTGAAAACTTTGTCCATTCTGATTCTTTATAATTTTTCATTGCTTCTTGTCTTTCCTTTATGTGCTTCCTTCTTCGTTCTTCTGCTTTCTTCACGTTTTCTGCTGCATGTTCTTCCAACAATTTTACAAAAGACTGGACTCGTTTATCCCTCTTGCGAACAAATGCCACCAAGTTTCGAACCTCCTCATTTCGTTGTTTACGCGCTTTATCACGGACTTTCTTGTTTTCCTTCTCTGCTGCACGCATCAGACACCTGTTTGGAGCATCTCTGATATTATATGGATCTAACCAAGCATATGATTTCTTTGTACAATAACTTTGCCAGTGTGCATAGAATGGATGTACTACATCTTCATAGGGACTCGTTGAGTCTCCAAAGCTTGGTACTTCAAAATCACTATCCTCATCTGTCATATATTCTGAATCTTCAGCTGCCAGTTTATTGAACACCTCCCTATACACTGCATAAAAACCATTCTCATCGTCACCATAACCTTTGAAACACGTAGGTGTGAAGTAAAGAAAAACATCAAGACTATCATCCTTATAATCGCTTCCAGCTCCTCTGAGAATGGATTCCCTGTGAGAATCATACCATGACCGTTCATGGGGGTCACTCAATACCTCATATGCTTGTTGCACAAGTTGGAACTGCTCCTTGGCCTCTGTAGCACTATTAGGATTTTTATCTGGATGCCACTTTAAAGCTAGTTTCCTGTACGCCTTTTTAAGTTCATCGTCATTTACATCTTTCAGAACTCCTAGAACTTCGTAATAACACTTCATCTTATTACACTATCAAAGTGATTTCGCAATATTGTATATACAGACACTAATCATACAACGTGGTCAAAACGTCCTATTCTCCTTCGCTTTTACACTCGATACAACTTAATAAAAACTCGCTGCTGCTGGACTTCACTTCATCTCTTCCAAGGCTGAAAGCTGACTGCTATCCACTCGATACAACCCGACTCGGCGACTGCTAGACTTCCGCTACACTCGGCGACTTCACGATCCACAGTGTGTCACTCCTAATCACACACTCTGATTCACACACCGCTCAGCCGGCCTTTTATACCGTTCCCTGTTGCCTCGTGTTAACAGCGATGTCCCCTGTTACGTCACAGTTGGAAGTACTGTTACGTCACCGCGGGGCGAGGGCGGCGTGTTTACTGTCCTGTTACCCTAGCAATGGCTCCTATGCTGTTACGTCACCGCGGGGGGGGGGTGTTTTCCGAGAGTTACATAATGCTGAAAGGAGTGGGGATATGTGACGTCACTCGCGAGACCTCAGAGTTCACGTGACCCCTATTTCCTGTTGCGCTATCCACGTCACAATATGATTCACAGTTCGAAATTATTATTTTCTATGAATATAATTCACCGAATTTCAGTTTTAATGAGAAAGTTACATAATGCCGCCTTAAAAACATATGTAGAGTAGAAGTATTGTTATTATTGCGGCTTACGCAGTTTAATCTTTGGGATATTAAAATGCGTCATGATAACAGAATGTGGTCTGAATTTTGGTTCTAACTTTGCATATAACGAATGAAAGGGAAGTAAAAACCTGTATTGTTCCTTTCAATTCATATCCAGAAATCCAGCTCGGTGGGTTATGTTTCGATTTCACAGTGGTTGAGCCCTTTTCTATAGCAGGGTGCAGTGAAGCTAACAGTTTCCTTGTCAACCCATTGTAGTACGTACGTGTCAAGCCGAACGAATTCTCACTTCGTAACGTTTGCTTTATGATTCTGTTCACGAACCCCCTTGAAATTTTAAGCCAAGAGCTTGACACAATGGCGATTTTAAATTTCGATAACAGCTGTCATTACAATGTGGTCCGTCTTTCTGACACACTTGTTGTCAGAAAGAAAGAAATTAACCACTTTTGGGGGGGGGGGAAATTGCACCCATAAAACAGATTCATTTCACACTAGGTATAAGAGATAGATTTATCAAGGAAAATATTTTCTTGAAAATACACGTAATTATAAATAGAATTAGTTACATAAAAATTTAAAGTAATAAATATGTTCCCATATTTGTGTTTAAAAATAAGTGGAATTGATATGGGTTCGAGTCATGGAGTAATTGCTCAACACATTTCATATAGTGTAAAAAATAATTTGGAGACGAAAGTAAAAAATAAAAAATTATCGTTTTTTCTCTGGAAGGAGATAATTAAAACACTAGAAAGTCTAGTACGATAAACCTTCTAATTTTGTGACATATGCCTACCTTATTTCCTGGCACAATAATCTGAACTCGCCATGGCATTAGGTTCGCTCTCCAGGGTTCATTCTCCATTATGGAGCTAGAATTTAATCGGTTTGCTGCTTAATTAGATAACAACATTGCAAGAACATACTCGCACGTGTACCCAGACTAAACAGACTCGTTTGGCAGAAGGAATTATAAGAGGAACAATGAAGACTGTGACGAACGATTCACTTATAATAAACGAATTCTCACAGTTCACTGTTAATTTATGGCAGCTAACTGAATCATACTTTCTTGACGTCTGTACTCTCCATTTTAATCCCATTTTTCTCCGGTGCCTGATGAATGCAAACAGTTTGATCAGTAATGGTCTGTTACGTCGAAACCTACACTGACTATCTCCAGTAATTTTGTCTAGGTATCAACTCGTTGCGCTGACCACGTGACACACTCTATCCGCAAAAGTTGGCACTAACTTCGGCAACAAGCGGCGGTCCCTGTGTCAGTATAGTTCGCTTGCGGACTAAAACCACGGAATTTATGAACTCAACTTTTTGAGTGAAGGTTGCTGGATAAAATAATTGTATCCAAATTGATAACAATGATATATCTCTGTAATTACTACTGTCAGTTATGTTACCCTTCTTGTAAATTTTCAGAATAATAGATTCCTCCGACGATGAGGCAATTCTTTCTTATTCCATCTATGGTTAATGAGTTGTGCTTGAATTAGATCAATACGTGACGATTTATACGTTTTGAATATCACAGTAGCAATATCAACGTCAAAAGGACTAGTCCCATGTACTAATGGCTCAGTAATCCTTCCACTTCTTCAACATGTTGCGGGAATCAGCAATCAGATTGCTGAACACAAGTGTCTCAAGTATGTTCAGGTGTAGCACATAACCATTAATCAATTTGAAGAGATAAAATGGAAAAAATGAAAATCTTTTTTCATCTACCTCTTTCATGAAACACATTAAGAGGCTTAATTTTCCACAGGTCGCAGGAACACCTTCCATATTATGAATGTGTTCGAAAAACAAGAGGAAACTATAACATGTTAATCTTTAAACGTATTGTGACGTGTCGCTCTATGCAGGACACCACTCCCCCCCTCCCCGGCGGCGGTGACGTGCCGAGCGGAGCCGAAGCGAACCGAGTCCCGGCGCACTCGTCGCTATGCAACGCGGGTAAACAGTGGTTGCGAGAGACAACTCCCGACAGCGTTACCAGTAGCACCGGTAACCACGGCGCCAGACAACAATGGTGCCTATTACGTGGCTGTTTTCTGCGTTGTCCGGAATGAGGCTAGATACGGAGCAGCGAAGGCTATTCATAGTCAGTTCCGAGTTAGCCAGCAGTCAGTTCTGAGTTCTCAATCTAGCCAGCGGAGAGTAACGAGTTAGCCAGCAACCAGTCAGTTGTATTCTGGCATTTGCAGTCTAGTATTTGTGATACTGCAGATAGCAGTAATTGTGAATCTGTAAATTGTGTGATTGTACGAGCGAATGTGAAATAAAATTCGCTATATCCAATAAGGCGTGAAGTTATCTGTCGCGTTATATACCCAACACGCGACAGTATTATAAGTACGCCTGATAAAAGTATTAAGTCAGAGCCAGTAGATAATTAAAAGAATGGTCTAAGTAAGCTCATAAACTGAGAGTCTAAAACAGAATTTATCGAGAACACAATTTTTCAATTTTTTTTTTTTTGCACACATATTTTTCATTAATCAAAAATTCGAAACTGTACGCTGGTATATTAAAATCTCGGAGAGTTAAAGATTCATGTCTCCAAATCTTCGTGATACCAAAGAATCTAAAAAAATCGGTATGTATTCGTAACATAGTACGTAACATACGTAACATAGCCGGCCTAAAACCACTCTAGAAATTCCCTTTAATTTCGAGCACACAATTAGTATTCCCGTTTGTCTTTGCCTGAGCTGAAATGCGTTCTTTGTCTGTGACACAGAGCCAGCATGCTGATCATTCGTTCCAAGCAAGTAGTGTGTCACTTTACGTGTAATAGCCACTAACCTAACCGTTTTCCAGGACACACGTTACAACACGGTACTGCCATTACATCCTGGCTTTCATTTCGTGATCAGACTGTAAAGTTCCCGTTGAAATGAAGACATTAAATACCTCTCGTGAGGTGAGGTTAAGTAGTTCTCAAATCAAGATATCCGAAATAAAAAGAAGAAATGTTCCCTCGTCTCAGTAGTTCTGTTTTCTGGGATATAACGCCGTGTACTGCGTTGTATACAACTGACGTTTTGGAGGAACATGTCGCCTCCATCTTCAGGGTCGAAGAATGAACCAAGCAAGAATTGTCCGGATCTGAGAAACGAAAATATGTAATTTTTTAATGCTAGTGGGGTGGGACTAAGTCCCTTGTACTGTGGCCACATCTGGTCTATTTTACCAGCCCCAGATGATAGATGAGGATGATTGTGGAGCAACTGGTGGAATGAAGATTGGCAGGGGAAACCGAAGTACTCGGAGAAAACTTGCCCCAGCGCCACTTTGTCCACCACAAATCCCACTTGACCAGACCCGGGGTCGAACCCGGGCCGCCGCGGTGGGAAGCCAGCAACTAACCGCTTGAGCTATGGCACGGCCTCAACGAAACCATGTAACAAACTATTCTTGCAGTTTGTGTGTTAATATCTTTGTCCCTCACTCCAAAGAAAAAGTGTAGGTTTCCAATAGTCGTTGCAGAAAATATAGCCATCGAATCAAAGCAGTTCTAAATTAAAATGTAGCTAAAATCACCTTGCAAAAAAAGCGCCTGTCTAGGGCCACTGGAAAGAGCTATTACTTAGTCATTGGCCTGTAGCAATAGTGTGACGTGTTGCGCTATGGATGATGCCCCTCCCTCCCCGCCAGCCGTGACGTGCCGAGCGGAGCCGAAGTGAGCCGAGTCCAAACACGCTGGTTGCTAGGCAAAGCGAGTAAACAGCGGTTGCTACGGTAATAAGCCAGTTAACACCCCGTCTCTCCTCGCGGTGACGTAACTCATGGTACCGCTTCCTACTGTGACGAGGCACGCAACGCCGCAGTTGATACAGACAACAGGCAACAGCGAACGGAATAAAAGCCGGCTGAGCAGTTAGTCAGCAGCTGGAAGTCAGTGTGTGATCAGGAGTGAACGAGTTCTCAATACAGCTGCCTACAAGTTGAATTGAATTGTATTAGTCACCGAGTTCAATTGTAACTAGTGAATCGTAACAGAGTGAATCGATTTGTGTGAAGGGTTTGTAAATTGTGTAAACCCGTAACGTTGTTATAATTAATTGTAACCGATACTTGTAGGTTGTTAAATAAACCAATTAACAATCCGTACGGCGTCTTCAGTAACGAAACACGTTACAATATGAACTCGTTGTTCGTAACATTTTAAATAAACAACGTTAACAACGCCGTATTTTACGGTGCTTTTCATTTAGCGCTCGCATTCAAGACTGGTAAGTGGCACGCATCGTGTTTTTACGGTGAAGTCTCATCACAGCCATCGTTTCATTTCAGTGCTATATATGTATGTATATA